TTGCCTGACTTCTTTTTCTGGTTGCAGGTTATCTCCAGTCACTATTAAGCACACTATAGACCCCTTTTACCAACCACTACTCGATAAATATTCTGGCATTTACCAATCGCAACCGAAATTGCCGTGTGTAACCAGCAATGTTACACATCACATCACGACTACAGGACCACCTGTCTTTTCGAAAGCACGCCGACTGGCCCCCGAAAAGTTAAGGTTGGCGAAAAACGAATTCGACCATATGATAAACTTAAGAATCATACGACCGTCAAATAGCCCATGGGCAACTCCGTTGCACATGGTCCCTAGAAAGGACAGCAACGATTGGCGTCCAACTGGTGACTATCGGCGATTGAATGCAAAAACCGTTCCCGATCATTACCCGTTGCCCCACATTCACGATTTGACAGCTACCTTGAAAGGCGCAACTGTCTTTTCAAAAATTGACTTGGTTAAAGCGTATAACCAAATTCCTATGGCCACTGAAGACATTCCAAAAACCGCTATTATAACGCCCTTCGGACTCTATGAATTTTTGCGAATGCCTTTCGGTCTGAGAAACGCGGCACAGACTTTCCAAAGGTTCATAGATGACGTTTTTCGAGGTCTCAACTTCGTACATGCATACGTTGATGACTGTCTAATAGCAAGTCCGGACAAAGAACCCCATCTCCAGCATCTGGACCTTGTTTTCGACCGACTACAAAAACATGGCATTACCGTAAACATTCAGAAATGCCAAATCGGAACCGAATCCTTAGACTTCTTAGGACACACCATAGATGCGCATGGCATTCGATCCCTTAGAACGAAAGTGGCTGCCATTCTGGATTACCCAGAACCGACCACCATCAAGCAATTGCGCACGTTTAACGGTCTGGTAAGTTTTTATAGACGATTCATACCGAAATGCGCGTTACTTATGAAACCCCTTACCGACCAACTTAGTGGAAATGCGAAATCCATTAATCTAGATGACACTACACGAAAAGCATTCTCCACGGTTAAGGAACATATCGCCCGAGCAGCAATGCTTGCTCATCAGGACCCTAAAGCGCCCATTAGCATCTCAGTAGACGCATCCGACTCAGCAATCGGAGCAGTCTTACAACAATGGGTTAACCACTCCTGGCAACCTTTGGCATTTTTCTCTAGACGGTTGCTAGACACTGAATCGAGGTACAGCACATTCGGTAGGGAACTCCTAGCTATGTATTGTGCTGTTCGGCATTTTCAACACCATATCGAAGGCCGTGAATTTACCATTTTTACCGACCATAAACCACTTACTTTCTCCTTAAGCTCTTCTTCGGACAAGTACTCACCACGTGAGTCTCGACAACTGGACTACATTTCGCAGTTTACTTCAGATATTCGACACATTTCTGGAGCAAACAATGTAGTTGCAGACGCCTTGTCTCATATAAATTCCTTGAACAGTTCCCAAGGAATCGACCTTTTAAAACTCGCCCAACTTCAAAAAGAAGACAACGATCTTCAGCACGAGTTGGCCTCAACAACACTTAAACTGCGCACTAAACAGATGGGAACAGGTAAGGAAACCTTACTTTGTGACACATCTACAGGCAGGGATCGCCCAATCGTGCCGAAACAAAATCGACGCAACGTCTTCAATACGTTGCACAGAATTTCTCATCCAGGTGTTCGTGCAACCATCAAGCTTATAGCAGAACGGTTTTGCTGGCCTGGTATGAATAAAGACGTGAGGGAGTGGGCACGCTCCTATGTAAGCTGCCAGAAATCTAGGGTTATTAGACATCACAAATGTCCCCTAGGGTCGTTTAAAACTCCCGATGCTCGCTTCGACCATGTTAATTTGGATTCGGTAGGACCTTTACCAGATTCAAATGGATATTCTTATCTTTTAACATGCGTAGACCGTTTTACTCGATGGCCAGAAGCAGTACCCATCAAAGATATTACTGCTGAAACAGTGGCCCGCGCCTTCGTCGAGAGGTGGGTAGCAAACTTCGGCTGCCCAACAACCATTACTACAGATCGTGGACGTCAGTTTGAATCTGAACTGTTCCGTTGTCTGACCATGAAACTAGGAATCACTCGCTTTCGAACGACGGCCTACCACCCACAAGCAAACGGTTTAGTAGAACGTTTTCACCGACAACTAAAAGCGTCACTATCAGCCGCAAACATTTCTCAGTGGACTGACGCTCTCCCACTCGTCTTACTAGGTATACGCAATGCAGTAAAAGCTGACATTGGATACACTGCCTCTCAACTCGTTTATGGTACGACCCTTCGACTTCCGGGAGAATTCGTGAATCCTTCATCCTATTTGATTGACATGGATCTAACCTTTTACGCGAACAGGCTTGCAAACGCAATGCGTTCAGTGAAACCTGTTTCCACTCGAACTCAATCAACTGATGTTTTCGTTCAACCTGACTTACTACATAGTGCACACGTCTTCGTGCGTCGAGACTTGCATCGACGACCTCTCGAATCAACATATGAAGGACCTTTCAAAGTTCTTCAACGCGAATCTAAGTACTATATAATCGATAAGAACGGAACCAACGAAAGCATCGGTATCGATCGCCTCAAAGCAGCGTATTTAGGAAATCCTATTCACGTCGATTTTCCTTCAATACAATCGCACGACACAACTCCTGCACTTATAATACCTCAATCGACAGCAGACACACGTTGATACTTCGACAGTATCCGAAAATAAACTCAAAACAACGCATTCTGGAAGAAGAGTAAGATTTCCAGAACACTTGAACGATTACTGCACGTAAGACACAAGTTAACATTTTATATCCTCACGATTTTCCCTGGTACTATATATATTTTTTATAAAAAAAAAACCGAATTTAATATGCTTATATATTTTTATTATTTCAAAAAAGAAAAAAACAAAAAACAACGATATTATAAAAATCCTTTTTTACGCTATTACGTGAGCATGAGTTTGTTTTCCTTTTTTTCGCCCGTTTTGTGTTTTCACGCGCGTACGAGTGTATTCCGACATGCACTTACATATTTTTCTTTTCTTTTCCAGGACGACTGGAAAAGATGATGAAAAGAACGATGAAGTTGCGAGAAACAAAAATCTGCATTGTACCTTTTTTTACTGTATTGTACATCATGGTCCATTATAGTAAGGAAAGACGACCAGACGCTGCTAAACCTAGCAAGCTATCAGAAGAGTGTTTACCAACGAAAAACTTGTTGGGTTTAAACTTCTGGCTGGCCACGTCTTAGGGTCATCACTGCCCCACTAGGGGGGGAGTGATCTGTAGCGGTAAATAATTCCCCAAAATCAAATAGCTCTGTAAGTTTTCCACATTGGATGCTGACCACAGTTTTAGTGGACTCATCTAGCTGAAGGCTCTCGGTCAAGCATCCGCACCAGATCACGTGTGGGAACGCCGTGCTCAACATCTGCCTCAATCGCTAGCCAGATTAGTGCAAACGATCCTCGATATATTGATAGCTTATCAAATATATCTTCGATCTCCTCACTTCTGTCTTTTGATTTTACTTGGTGGGTGCGCTTCGTATTAGAAGGTGTTACTGGTTAAAGCGTTGTCAAACTCCGAATACCTGTGGCATCTTCAATCTATCTGTTTGCAGTCATTAACCAGTCGAAGTTCACTTTCACCAAACATGTCAGTTTCCTACTTGCTGAAACTTGTTATTTAATTGTGTTTTCAACACAAATTTAAAAATAAGTGGTTGGGGACAGACTTTTAGTTGAACTCATGATAAAGAACTGAACATGGTTGGTGCCCACTAATGTGGTACCCTTTCCCATATACTTACATATTAGGTTATGCATATAATCTCTTCATAAAAGAGGAAGAATGTATTTGTAAAACCTCAGCGAAAGAATTTGAAGTAAATCCAACGTTTCGCCTGGCAATCTAGTCCAAGGATTTCCAGGGATATTTTCCTTCATAAGTTGTTAAAAAAGGTCATGTACTATAATTCAGTAATCAGTGTTGATTAGTTGTGATATTTTGACCATGCGACATTTACTAGATTGAATATTTGCTGGCAAGTTGAATTTTGTCAACGTTCAGACAAATTGTGACTGGTTGTCAGTGTGAAAAATAATTCATAACATTGGTTTACTCTGTTCTCACTAATTTGTGTATCGGTTTAAGTTGCCACACCATATGAATGCAATGGGATGAAATTATGAAAACAAATATCAGAGTATTAGAAGTGGTCACAGTATCGGTGGTAGTAGAAAAGACTAAGTATGGATAATGTAATTTAAGAAATCCGCGGGATAGAAAGTATAGGACAATTTTAAAACTCAAGATCGAAGAAAAGTGAATACATCTCCTCTACATTTACCTTTTCTTCATCATGCCACCTAACGTCTCCAACCACTGATAGTGGTTATTGAAAGAGACTTCAAACAGGTAGTCTTCACATAACTGCATAGCTTAGACCAACAGTTGGTGATTAAAAGGACAGACATCACGTCTTAGTTCAATAGCCATTAAAGTCCTTCCAACTTATGACTGCAGCTGTAAACACCGCCTGTCCAGATGGACGGTATTTGCTGATACTCAACTCATGTCCCTCAGTCGATCAATATTCACTACATGATCAGTTGATGTACCATATTTACCTAGTATCTTGCGTCTAATCTCGTAATCGCTTACTTCAATATCCCAATACTCACGGAGAGCACTTTGAATGTAGGTGTAATTAAAATCTCGCAGCATGCCCATAACATTTACTACTATAGTTAGTTCCACAGTCATAGAGTAATACAGTGGGGACTTCTGCACACTACAATGAGGAACTGGTTGGCAGACGGTTGTCTAACTTGCATCACAAGTATCGAGAGTTGGCGTAAATCTATCTAGCTTTTCGAATGTGTGCTGAGATTTTATCAGACACCACTCCACCAGGGCTGATGAGACCATGTGTGGATCAATTTACTATCCATTTCTAATTATCTAAACTGTTTTCCGTTTTGTCCTCATTCTTTATCATAATAGATTGCTAATGGAATGGCTTATTTGGAAAAAGAGCACTATATTCATCGTGATTTAGCCGCACGTAATATTTTAGTTGGAGAAAATAATTGTGTTAAAGTAGCTGATTTTGGATTAGCTCGTATGGTGGAAGATCACTACTCTATGTATACATACGGCTAACATAACCTGCCCCACCAAAGGAAGTAAACTTGTCCATAGCCGCAATTTATCCTTGACAATTCTTCTAATGAGTTTCTAATTGAAACAACGCCCTTTTATTTATACAAACAATCATATTCAATAACTTTTGTTAATCTTTGATTTTTTTGTTAAATGATGGAACACCTTTCAGTTTCATAAGCTTTTACAGTCAGTGTTTGAATAAGTTTAATCATCCTTGATAATTTTGTAACATTCATCTATTTTACAATTACTAAATGTAAAAAAAAGTTTTTATAAATACAACTGGATCGTTTAATAAGATAATTATGTTCAACAAAAAAAAAATTTCCTCTGCTGAATTGTCTTCATTCGTTTTAATAAGTCATTGGGTTTATTCCATTCATTCTCTTTACATTTATTTGGTATTGTTCATGATGGATAAATTAAGGTATTGAATTTCATAGTTGGAAGATTTTTATTTCTAACTTTTTTTTTCACTGAACTTAACTAAAACAAAATCTTATTCTACAAAATGAGAACATTTATCACAAAACTAAAGGTAGGTTAATAAATCAGAGAAAACAGGTAAAAATGAATGCTTTGAAATTAAAAAAAAAATTCATTGTCAGGATACTTAAATCACGTCTATATTTTTGTAAATAAAGATGATTCTTTTATTTCCTGAAATCTGATTACATTTTTTAAAACAGGGAACATAAGATACTGTGTTTGATAAGATCAATAATAGATGAATTGAGAAAAGTTCAATTTAAAACAGAAATGGTTCAATAGAAAACTAAAAAGATTTGCATATTATCACACTACAAAATTATTGTGATTCAAAAATAGAAATCACTGAAAAATAACACCACCAACCTGACTTTACATAAGTTCATTTATATACCTTCATGAGGGACAGTGTTGCTTATGGTAACAGTTGTATCTGTTAACGATACTTGTGTAGGTGATTTAATGGTATCAGTTGGTGGGTTCATTATGTCATTATTGAATTTACTACTTATTTTCGTGGTACTGAGGGGTTCAATTTCACAAGGATCATGAATAACAGGCTCATTCTGATGGTCACAACATTTACGCTTGATTACCAAGCCTAAATATATTAAACACAAAGGAATTGGTGTAACCATAGCTACAGTAATTGGCATAATAGCACCTAATTCACCAATTGGTTTTGGCATTGTATACAATAAAACAAGTATTCCAACACCAATATTTTGTATACCAGTCTCTATGGCCACTGTAATAACTAATTTTCGTGATTGTCTTAGAATAAATGTAAATAATGATGCTATACAAAAGCCAAGCCAAGGTAATAATGCACTTGTAAGAATAAGTAAAGGATATACACCTAATAAACGAGTCAAAGACCAATTAATATACACACCAATGGTTAAAAAGAATAATATGAATAAATAAAATAATGGACGTGTTAACTTTGTGCATTTAACAGCCAATTTCGGTTTCCATATACGTAGACCTAAACCCATTAATGCAGGTATAGCTACTTGTAATAACTGGAAGACAATATTGACGTATGGAATTTTTATTTTGGTCACATCAATAAAGAATCGACCGTAGATGAATAGAAGAAGAGGCATCATAACTGTAGATAAATAAAAAAAATGAATGCAAAAATAATGGTTATCACGATTTATGACATTATTATACACAGTCCTGTGTAACAGTGTAAAAGAGATTAAAGATTAATAACTTATTTACACAGAGAAACAGTTCTTTAGTATTGATTGATTCTTAATGTCATTTATGAAAAGATTCTAACAGTATTGAAATTATTTAGTATATTTTCTTGTCAATTTATTGATTTGAATGTGTCCGATTTCGTGTGAATATAAAACAAATCAATCAAAGAAGTAACACACTAGGAGTTGCTGCTTTAAAACCTCCATCACATCTCAAATAATTATTGATCAAATGTGTTCCCCTTTTTCAAGGATTCCAAATATTATGAAAAAATGTTCCATGTAAATAATATAGAAAATAAAATTTAGTATTTTTTTAAAAACTTCATAAAGGTTTTTGAAACATTAACAAGCCTGTCAACTTCCTAAAAATAACCGTTTGCCCTCATTTTAAATTAAAACCAAATTAAAATCACGAATCAATTGAAGCTAGACCACTATAGTAAACCTGGAAGCACTGGACGGCCGTTTCGTCCTAGTGTGGGACCCCTCAGCAGTGCGCATCCACGATCCCGCACCCCCCGCGAGATTCGAATTCAGGATATATCAGTCTCGCGCGCGAGCGCTTAACCATTAGACCACTGAGTCGACATCTAACGGTGTTAATGTCTAACTTCAAGTAATCCACGCAATCGCGCCACCGTCCACCATTGTCTTCAGTGAGCTGATATCTCACAACAGACCTGGTTGAACTTCACTGGTAACGGCTTGTCGCTAAAACTCCAGGAAATGCCTCTTGAAGTCAGTCACTAGTGAGCAGATGATTATTATCATAACGGTTCGAAACAACTGTCCAGAGCTTCAAAGTTTTCCATGATGGTCTAGCTTTAATTGACTCATGATTTCAACCATTAAAATAACTAAAATCTCCACAAAACCCCTTCTGATAAAACTAAATTATCCAAATAATAATAATAATAATAATAATAATAATAATAATAATATATTTTCAGTATAACAATGGGTAGAAACGTTGAATTTTAGGTGTTTCACGATTTCGTATATGTTGCTGCCGAAGAAGTGACAAGTTTATTATCGTAATAAATTTAATCACTATGCAATCTTGGAGATGATTAAATTTTATTTTGACGATGATACTCATATAAATGATAAGTTGACATGGGTAATTTTTAATGCTTAATAATAAGTTAATTAATTAGAATATAGAAGTTGTATAGTCTGAAATTTTGTCTACCTCTAGCGAATAATCAATATCTAAGGTTTATTAGTTAACATTTATAGTGATAACTTACTTTATTTTCTAGGTAGATTTTAAATTTTCTTATTACGATAACAAACTTTTAAAAATTAACTTATTTACAGTAATGAATTTTTTTGTACAGAATATGAAGACAAAAGTTTGATGTATGTGTCCTAACTAAATCTCTCGCATTAATGTATTTCACTTATATCCTTTGAATTATATTCAAAACTCAATTTCATCGTACAGTTGAAAGAATATTGATATTTTAACTGCTTAACTTATTCATTTTATAAACAAAAAGATGGGTCATTCAACAAGGTTTCTGTTTAGCGATCCCTTTATGTAATGCTAAAAAATTAATTACCATTCAATAATCTACTTCTGAGAAAATGTATAAAACTCTCTGTGTCAACTAAGCCAGTTAAAGCGCAGAACATTCGCTTTACGTCCTCTCAACTTCGTAAACCCCCCCCTCCGCGAGAAAGCAGTGATTAGGGCTTCCCTGGCAGTGGCTATGTGAGAACATTTTGAGAGGGTGAGCTGACTATCCCTACTCTCGATCGTATCAGAGCACTTAGGGGCAAATAAATACTTACATCATACTCTAATATTTTAATGGATAACAACTAATTCATGGTAAATAAAAACTGGAATTTAGAAAAGTATATTCACTATCGATGAGTTAATTAAACATCTTCTAAATGAAATACTGATCAAAGTATAATGAAATAATGAACAAAAAAGAAATAGTAAAACAAAATAAACAGATTTATAGACTATGAATTATCAAAGTTTATAAACTAAACATAAATTCTGTCGGTTAATACACTACAAAATTAGTTTGTTTTTGTTTTGTTTGTTTGTTTTTTGAACAGTAATAGATGTAACCCTATTATAAGTTAATATTCATTTCTTTTTTGTAAAGCTTCTTTATGACTGAATAGATTAAACAGTTCCGGACAAACTTGTTACTTATAATAATTGTAAAAAGTATACTTCTAAATACTTTCAAAAGATTTATATATTAAATAAATTTTATCAAACTGTTGGTAGATTAAACTTACAAAGAGCCGATAAACTACTAATGAATGTCATTAATATACTCAAGTTGATATCACCTCCAAGTAGAAGACACCAACCATTACTGGCACCACCACCTGGAGAACAAGCAATAGTAAGTAAACCAAAACCAAAGTCCGACCTAATTGGTATAATTTTTGCGATACCAAACGCAATCTAAAACACAGTTATATAAATAATCAATTTAGTTTTTAAGCAAAGCATTATCTAAATATAAAATAGTTTTATTAAGGAAAATTTAATTTTCATAAATTCATCTGTTCAAGTAGGGACTTATTGTGGGATTTCGAGAATATCATAAAACATCTACGTCGACAAATACCAAATAATAACTAACTATATAAACATGAAAATCATGACTTAAGTTATCAAATTTTCTTTTCATTCAATAAATATGGGTACATTGAATGACTTCGATTCACGAGTTATATTATACTTATCTATCGATATACTCATGTTAACGTTGAAGAATCCTTCTGAAAAATCATGTTGTAAATTGATGTGTATAGTCTAAGAGTTCCTAATGTTAACAGATAATGTGTAGCTTAAAATAATATTTCCCGAAAGATTATCATTACAGAGTGACATCATGGATCAAGTAAAGATGTTTCATAATGATCACATAGATGCAATCGTATCCACTTCATACTACGTGCTATTTACCTGAAAATTTAGTGAATTAACCAATAATATAATCAACGGGTATGAAATTTTATAAAAGTTCTATATAAGAAAGTAACAGAATAATATTATTAACAATAATGTTAATATTATTAGATATCAAGCCAAAGCACCATATTGCTTTCTTGAGAAAAATACATCAATCACTCATATTATCAGAATGAATCTAATAAACCAGTTTCTTTAGCTTAAACTATACGTGACTACAATCGGTTATAGTAAGTATATAACATACTATTCTGTATTTTATCGTTAGAAATATGTATCTCCTATGATAAACTGAATTGTCTGAGATTAAGCATTTGTTTTAAATACCTTATGTAGAACAAATAAGTTGATGTTAAATTATTTGTCTTCAGTATGAAAAGCACAAATGTAAATAACTGAGAACGGAAAGAAATGATACGCTATCATGAATGACAAAACGACAATAGAAATTACTAACACTAAATAGAATTAAAAACTATTAGATATTTAACAGATTAGTTTAAACACTTAGCTCGAGTCGGAACTCATCCAACTAAGGAGCATAGTTAAATCATACCCAATGGGAACTATTCAAATTTTAATATGAAAACAAGTACATAGTTACTGGAACGAAATTAATTAAGATAACCAATTATCTTAACATCAACTTGGTTAGCTTTCCATTTTAACTCAACTAGTCAAAGATAATTTGGTGGTACAGATTTGATATAATACTGCTAATATCGTGTAGCAATACAATTTTGGAATAAACAAAGGAATATTAAGATTTTCATCATGTTATCAAGTGACAGAATATACATCGAATTTAAAGAATTCTTTTTTTTTTTTTTGAAGATTTATTACATTATGATTTCCTATATATGATAACGTATTATTTAATAAAAACACGTAGAGAATGTCAACAACTGACTACTTAGTCCCAAGTCTAAATCTTCTACTATTCATTTCAACTTCACTGAACACTTAGCATTGGATCATAGTTTGAATGACTAGTAAGCATGAAAATTGCTAAAATATGTATAACTTATGATATAAATGAAACTAATATATTTGTAATATCCCAATGAGTAGAAAAACCCTATTTTCTAACTTTTCGTGAATTAGTGTACGCCACTTCTTCAGAGAATAGATAACCAAAACAAAATCAATCCAAGTTTAAATATTCTTGTATTGTTCCGTCTGTACTATTTAAACTTGTATTGATTTTGTTTTGGTTATTTATTCTCTGAAGAAGTGGCTCACACTAAGTCACGAAACGTCAGATAATCGAATTTTTCTACTCGTTGGGATGTCTACAAATATATCATTTATTTATTTATTTATTTATTTATTTATTTATTTATTTATTTATAACAATCAACCCAATGCTCAATTTATTCGAAATTATCAAATCAAACCTTGGTAATGATACTTAGCACTTATGATAGGCTGTTTACTAATTCATCTAAACGTAAGGTTGATTTATCAGTTTTTCTAAGACGTTTGATTATGTTTTATAGATTTAATAATAGTGATTTTAAATTATTAAGAAATTAGTTTGAACCCCTCAGATCCAACTGATTTTGTACATTTTTCAATACACAAAAGCACATTTCCTTTTTTTTCATTTATCACTGTTATTTTATTCGGCTCCAGAAATGTTATACGCAAACACAGACTTACACGAATACATATTAACCTAAACGAAAGTTTTGTCTTACGCATATTTTCACTTTCATATGGTTCTTATGCGTACAGTAATCATTTACATGTTTGAAGAAAGAGCACGTTATATTTCGTGGTTTCTCATCACCACTATTACCAGGAATAATACAAGATACCCAGCCTCCTATCATTTCCAATCTGAAACTGAAGTAATTTTAGTAGTTGAGATCATGAGTCAATTGAAGCTAGACCACTATGGAAAACCTGGAAGCACCAGACGGCTGTTTCGTCCTATTGTGGGACTCCTCAGCAGTGTGCATCCAAGATCCCGCCTCGTGAAATTCGAATCCAGCATCTACCGATCTCGCGCGCGAACGCTTAACCTCTAGACCACTGAAGCAAAATCCAACGGTGTTGATGTCTAAGTTCAACCAATCCACGGAATCGAGCGACACATTACCATAATAACCACAAAACCCCTTCTGATACTGAAACTGAAGACTTTAATACTTATTTGACTGAATATTTTCAACTTCTTTTTTAAAAATAGACAAACTACTTACCAATGGCATAAAAAAGAATTGACAAAATAATCCAATTGATATAGAAATGGGTCTTTTGAAATGATGCAAGATCAAAGGAACTTCCAAATCACACCCCATTGTGAATGTGAATATACTCACCATAATTATGACGATGATACGGAAAAGTAGATGACCAATGCCTTTATCTGCAGTTACAATTACGGGAAAACCCATTGTGTTGTTTTCATTGTTGTCATCATTATAATCTTGGTTATTATATAAAGAAACATTGAGTCGATGGTCAATCATTAAATTATCAAAATATTGCTTCCTGAGGGTCGCGGAATTATTAGCAAACCAAGGAGTAGGACTAATATTTCCATGTTTTGGTTTCGCTTGACGAATCCAAAATACCAAATAGTCTAGTCCCACTAATTTTGGTAATATATAAACTGATATATTTGTACTCGCATTTAATGAAGGTGGTAACCAATACCACGATTGATTAACAAGCTCAGCGGACAACGTAAAATCCAAGTCATAGGATAAAGCTAAAGGTATATGACTGCTGTAGCTGATGGAGCATATAACAGGTTTGATCTGATAATTATCTACAAACTCCAAGTCCTTTTTAGAAATACTGATTACTACATATATAGCATCTCCTTCATTATGGTAATCATAAATATACATTGAAGAGTTCGGATTTGTTTCATCATGTTTAAGCTGGTATCGTTCGCGTGAGCTTTTTGTTTCTTTAGCATACATCAAACCAAACAGTTGTGGAGATGTATCTCTGACTGGAAAAGCATTCAATGATATTATATTGGCATTAATCAATAGACTAATGAGTGTAGACCAAGAAAACATGAGCCAGAATTAACGGTTAAGCAATGTGACTTTATACCTGACCTAACATGGTATGCTAGCATCGCTTTATTCCTTTCCAATCTGCCAAACACATTGTTTCAAGGTCATATGACTAAAAATCACGCCTCACACCTTTCTTAAAGTTGATTGGTTTAAATTGTGTGATAGACATATTACCAAAACATGCATCAACTTATATCATTGGTCAATTTATCTGGTCATGAAGATAACATATCGAATGATGATTAAAGATAACATTTTCATTGATTTGAACTTAGATTAATCAGAAGTACGTGATATGTTAGCGCAGTACGTTTCGAACATTATTGCACTGTTCTGATAATCTTCGTCTTCTTATTATACTATACTGATTTATCAAAGGGACTAATTACATTGAATTTCATTTATTATAGACATTTTCTACTTCAGGCTTATTACTTGAAATTATAAACAATAATGTCGGGACGTAATTCAATTTATTTGATTTATTTCCTAATTCACAAGTTCGCTTGATCACGTAGAAATAATAGAGAAAGGTTATTGTTCTGCATACTAACTTTGCCTTCAAAACGAGATTTTCAGTCTCTTCATACTTTACACTAATTCCACAAAAGTCTAATTTAGTGCCAAATAACCAGGATTCTCGGTTATCCTGTCAACTACCTACAACTACTTAAAATCTCAATATAATGTGCTTGCATTGTTAAATTTCTGACTAGACAAATGGTTAACAATATAATTTGGTTTTGGAAGGTAGAGTGGATACTTAAACTTCTAAAATATTGATTGTCAGTGTCATGAACAGCATTAAAAATCAATAAATTTACCTGATGCAGATCTCAATGCTAGTTATACTGGTTCAGAATGATTAGAATGCACAATCAAAATGTCAGATTTAGTATCACTAAAGTTGGTGAATATAGATAGTTCATCTAAAAGAATCAATTTCAAAGATGTAGTATACATGGTCTCCAGATTCATTAGGGAACCAATAGAATATGGAAGTAAATACTATGGGGATTCATAACATATAATTGGTTCAGTAGTCCTTCAAATAAATCATTTGATTGACTGGTCATAACTAGCTCCCCAAATAAGTCTATCAGCATCAGTTTATACCTTCAAATTTCGAAACTCCGAAATGGAAGACATGGATGTAATGCCTAATAATATTTTCCTAATATCCCAAAAATACATAAATAAACATACATATTTTGTACCATGATACACCCTACTGTGATTATTTTCCCACCTGGTTTATTCATTTTTCAGGCTAGAAAACATTTTCTATGTAAGCATTTTGTTATTTTAGACTGAAAACTGTCTCCGTCAGCAGTGTAGTAACTAAGTAATCAACTATTATATCTGGACAGTCATTGAGGTCATGCATATATCGACTTCGCTGGAGGGAAGTCTTACCGATTTTACATATCAGTCGGGAACCATCGCAGTTCCTCAATACCGTTGCTAAAACTTGGGAATGGAACCACTAAAACTCCTACGATACGAAGTAAAAACACAATAGACTACTGGTACAAATGGAGATCTATTCACATCAAAAACACGACACTGACCACTCTAGTCGAATATACACTCATTCATATATTGATTTGTATACCCACTCGATTATTAATTAGAATGAAGTCACATATATGAAATCATAACGAAATCGCACGTTGCATGTCATGCTGACCATAGTTCACGTTAATTTGATACAGATAATATATTATGTTGGAGAAACACCACACAAGAAGAAATCAGTGTTGAACTGAGTGAAATATTACATTGAAAATAAAGCAAATATCATACTGGATAAACATCAAATTAATTTAAGAATAGAAGTAAGGTTGAATATGAGTTGAAATCAGTGTTAGATATTATTAAAATTATTTAAAGTTGCTAGTAGGTTGTTTTACTTAGGGAATTCACTAATAATATTGGCTAAACATTTAAAGTTCTTATAATATCACTTGTGGAATGAGATACACTTACAGGTGCTTTTTCACGTGCATTTTCAGAGGAGCAGTATGCATCAATGCAGCGAACAAATAATGTGAGTGATTTTATCGTACGGATAGATTGTTGTAGTATGATAATTAGAAGTATTTAAATTATAGTACAAACTAATAATACCAGAAATAACGTAATTGGATTAAGAACTACTAGATAAGCACTAACGAATGTACTGTATTTGAAATTTGAAATCTAGCATTCAACAAAAACAAAGCGATCTTTAGTTCATTCAAACACCACATCCGCCACGGCTTAAATTGGAGTCCGGGTGTCTGTAATTGATTGCACGTTTTCTTCTTAAGTTCATCCTTTGTCTGTCCGACAGTCTATTGGATAAAAACTCTGTACTATTTAGGATGCACTCATTAGTATTAGAATTAACAACGGAAATCGGAACAGACTCACTTGATTTATGGGATTGTGAACAATCAGCTTGCCGGTTGAATACTAGAACTACCAACTAGGATATTAACCATAGACTATCCTCCCCCACGAAGCAATGTCGGATCTTCATATCCCCAAGTTATGAATAATGTGGCTTCATTTAAAACATCTTTCTCAATTTGACTAGAGTAAACACTGGAAGTGAACCTATAATAAGGACAAATAACAGTTGATATGGAATTATCTGAATTGTAATCAAACTCTAACGCATTTAATGCTCGTGCTTCGCATTGAACAAGTTTCTCACAAGAAACAAATGCATCATGAGGACAAATAATATTTGATATGACATCAAGATTTGATTCTTCTGAAATGGTTTCCTCAAGTTTATTAAGAATGTCATTGTAGAGTAAAGGATCATTAGAAAAATCAGCATCAATCAAAACTACATCAGATTTTCGATCATGATTAGGTGCATCCGAAATATTCTCATCAGATTTGTAAGAAATTTCATCAGAAATATGTGAATCATTAGGAAAAATCATATCTGGTACAATAACATGGGAAATCTGACAGGTTGATTGATTAGGAATTGTTGTCTCGCAAAGATTTTGAGTTTCATTTAAATCTGAACTGCTATACTACTCTAAATTGTCTTTTGAAATCATAGATAAAGATAAATGATCATTATAAATACTCAACTTATTAGGATCAGAATTACAAATTGAGTGAATATGTCCAATATCACCACATTTAAAGCACTTAGAATCATGAAATTTACATGAATTAGAAGAGTGGAACCTGCTACAGGACAAACATTGACCAAACTTGTGCCCATCTTCGTGAACTGCATTGCAACTCCTCAATGAATTATCTGCATGCCCTTGAGTATGCACTGGGATGGGGTGACGTAATGTAGTGGAATTTTTTATATCATCATGAATCATTTTACGAAATCTCCCTTTACCGCATTCGAAATTTGTATACTTAGCATAGTCTAGAAGTAGTTCCTGGAGAGTTGTATAAGGAAGAGAAATGGGCTTTTCCGGTAAAGCCAAAATTTTTAATAAGCCATATGCTTCTTTTACAATGAATGTGAGAAAATGTGCCACAATATTAATATCCTCATCATCTTCCTTGATCATAGCCCAGATTTCGAACCTTTCAAAGTAATCCTCATAAGCATCGAAATCCGAATGAATATCTAACTGTTCCATCGCAGGCCCCATCGCGACGCCAATATGATAATTAGAAGTATTTGAATTATAGTACAAACTAATAATACCAGAAATAACGTAATTGGATCAAGAACTACTAGATAAGCACGAACGATTGTACTGTATTTAGAATTCGAAATCAGGCATTCAACCAGTACAAAGCAATCATTAGTTCATTCAAACACCAGAGTCTAGAAAATTTACAGGTAAAGTAATTTATAAAGAGAGATGATTTAGAATAAGTTTGTTTCACTAGTGACAAGGAATTACGGATGTCATAATGAGAAGTTTCTGCATTGCTAAATTATAAAGAATAATCAAAATACCTGACTTTTTTTTCTGACATTAATGTACAAGAAATTTCCACACCTACGAAGTCTCTCATCCTGTGCTAGAGGATCAACCATTATATGACGGGATAAATCGGCAAAGTATTTGCTTTGTTTTCCTGTATGTTATTTTATTCAGTATAACATTAATTTATTTAAATTTGATGTTTATTCAAGATAGGTTATTCTTATATCAAATTAGTGTGAATTATACTTAGCATGACATGCAGTATGTGATTTTGTTATAACTCTGGGTATTGTTCGTATACGTGATTTTATTCTAATTAGTAACCAAAATAGGTATACCAATCAATATAATATCAATGAGTGTATTTTCGACTAGAGTCATCGGGGTCATGTTGTCATGGTGAATAAATGTTCACTTGCACCGGTCTTAGTGTTCTTAGTTCGCTTTATAGTAATTGCAGTGGTTCCCATTTCCAAGTATAAGCAACAGTATTGAGGGATTGCAATGGTTCCTGACTGACATATATAAGCGGTAAGACTGCGCCCCCAACGAAATAGTTCCTCCTATTTTTTTCAAGTATAAGTAGTAAGCGACGCAAACGCAACAGATCAGTAGCAAAGTGATAGGTGTTATTAATAAGCTATTATAAATGTTCATTTGAAACATTATCAACTGCAGCATTGAAGAAGCAACAGAGGTTACAGCTATATTTGATAAATTTCACTTAAATTAACAGCTATATTTGTGGTCACGTCAGGTGGAATTAATTGAATATTTTGTCAAGTTGTCATAACTGAAACTACTTAATATTTTATATGATCGGAATTCTTAATAAAATTTGGAAATATAACATATTGTTATGCCAGTAATAATTAATGCAACATTTTGCAATTCAGTAGTTGAATTCTAGAGTCAATTGGAGCTAAATCACCACGGAAAACATGGAAGCACTGGACAGCTTTTTTGTCCTAGTTTGGACTACTCATGATCCCGCCGTGTGGGATTCGAAACCAGAACCCATCGGTCTCGCACGAGAACGTCTAACCTCTACACCACTGAGCCGGCTTCCAACGGTATTAATGTCTAACTACAACCAATCTACAAAATCGAGCCACCGTCTGCCATTGTCTTCAGTCAGCTACCAACTCACATCAGACGCGGTTGAACTCCA